ATTGTTGCCTGTTTTTACTTAATAATGACCAAATTTATTTGATCTACTACCATTGATAGTTTTAGACGGTAACATTGTACAACTTTTTATTTCACAATTAAGATTCATATAAACTATACATATGAAAAAATAAAGAACTAATTTCTTCTTTTTTCTTCTAACATCAATTTTCATATTCTCATGGTAAGAATCAAGTAAAATATTTATATCACTTTATTTAATCATAAGATCTAATATTGTAGATAAACAATATAAAGGATAAATATTATTCTAATATTTTTTAAAATTATTTTTCCTTATTCTAACAATATTTTTGAAAATATTCTTTATTTCTCTATTTTGCAAAGAAATCAGTGATTATATATAATTGATTGAGTAATATACATGAAGTTGGGTAATAAACACCCAAAAAATGTTAGTAGCATAGTAAAAATGTTGTAAAAATTCTTTTATACAAATGTCATTTTTCCAATCATAATTAGTTATAACGTTATTGGGCATTCTTTCATAATAAAACATGGTAATAATTCCTTGTATGGAATGCAGCTTTCTAATATAAAATAGGTGGAATTTCACCTATACTCTCATCTAACAGAAATTGTTTATACTTTTCTCCATATTGAAGACATAAATTTTTGAAATCTTGTTTTCTTGAACTAAAAAATCTAATAAATAAAATATAATTTCTAATTTTTGAAATATGTGCTGAAATAATGTTTAAATCTTCTTGAATACACAAGTTTAAAATATGATAGACATATCTAATATGAAACAATTTTTCCTCTAAAATAGTTACAATAACATCATTATTGCTCACATTATTAAAACTATATAGTATTTAAAATACTAACAATAATTGTTGAATACTATGCATTTGGTACTTGAAAAGGGATGTTTGATGAACTGAGACATTTGATAATGGAGGGTGGTGTCAAGGTACTCAGGTAAACAATAGGATGGCGATGGTGGTGATCATTAGACGTAGGTGTAGGTGTTAGTTGACCAAAGCAACGGTACTGGAGATCAAGTCGAGTGGAACTAGGGTTCAATGATGGATATTATGGTAATGGGGGGTGTTGGAGATGGGAAGAAAGAATAAGTGGGAAAAAGATAAACCCCCCCCCNCTCTCTCTCTATCCCCCCATGGTCGAGCTATGAAGGGGGCTTGCTCAAAAATACAACATCCGTGGAAAAAGGTGCACATAATACAACACCCTTTGGGCTCCTTTCCTTCTTACTCTCCTCACCAACCAGCCTCCTATCTTGGCCCAACAATCTCTTGCTCATCTACTAACTTAAACATTGGAAATCTCACCCTCTCGGGACTTTCTGCCCTATTCACCTCAATTCATCCATTTTCCTCCTCTTTATTTATTGTCTAAATTTGAATGTCAACACTAATATTGTCTCATGGCTTCTTCAAACACAATTTGAATATAAACTTACACATATAAAAAGTCCTACTAACTAGACTCCAAAAGACATACGAAAAAGGAGGTCCAAACTAAAAAGGATATGTGTCTAAATCAACATGGAGTGGAGTTGTTTTGGGCAAGGTTTAGCATTTCAACACAACACCCAATACTGGGCATTTTGTATCTTATCTTTAAAGGCTCGATATGGGATACAATGGGATATAGGTGGTATTGTCTTTTTTTTTTGTTCCATCGCATCATATCCATATCGACCATTTATTGGGTGTGCCGATGGTGTATTGGTGGATACACTATGAAAAAGATAGATATAAAACGAAAAATAATAAATAAAGGGGAAAGAAGGCTTCCCACCCCTCAAAATAAGCCTTCTTTTGCCCCCAAATAACTCTAAAGCTGCAAATGTCATTCCTATAGTGCTAGATTTGTAAAAATTGCATAAAACAAGTGTAAATTACCAATACTTTTGAAGATCTTTTAAGTTTTGGGAAATATTGCAAAACTAGTTAAGTTTATTTTAAGGTTTCTCATAATTTCTTAACATTTTCAAGCATTTATGTTGATCTACTTTTTTTATGTTTAAAATCACAATTGTTTTTTGGTGTTATGAGTAGACCTATGAAAGTTTTATAAAGAAATTTGGACAAAATCTAAAATAACAAAAAAGAAAAATGTACTTTTTTATCTACATATAAGGACTTCATGTGTTTTAGATTTATGGATGATCTATCATACACATACAGAAATTGAAATTTCTTGTATAATATTTTTTTTATAATAAATATCATAAGGCCCTTACATGGCTGAAATGAAAGAAAATAAAAGAAAACACCACACCAAGCACTACAATAATATGATATAACAGACTCTTAGCCCCTATCTTTAGATTCTTTACAAAATATAGTTTCACAATTTGCTCTACAAAGAAAGCAAATGTGAGGTTAGAGATGCCAATTGGACCTTTTCTTTTGAAGATTCTTGCAAGTATTGATTTTAACAGGGAACATCTCCCCCTAGAAACCCTAATCTCACTCAAAGAAACCCAACCAAGCGGAAGACCTGAGGGTGAGAGACATGAAAAAAGAAGCACAAGTGAATAGACTAGTGAGATTAACAGTCCAAATTTTAACAAGTGAGAGAACATTTGACACAAGTGAGAGAACATTTGAAATTTCAACTTCTCTTAAACTTTTCCTCCTTAGACCTAGATCCTCAACTAACCCCTTCTTGGAATAGGAGACACAATGAGAAGCTAGCTTTTCTTTGCACATAGTGAGTGAATAAGGGACTTGTAATTTATCCTTTAGGGGCAGTTCCCCACCAAAAATCTTCTGAACATTCAGTTCTATTGTGGGAAAAGAACGTTATACCTTATATATTGAAAAAGTAGGAACTATAGAGAAAATAGTTTTCCAATGAGAGGTTAAAGATGCTCATACTTGGCTGGGCTAAGCCATGCCTGAGCTTTGAACCTCAGGCTTGTAACAAGCCTAATCAGAGCACGATCTGCAGATGGCAAGTGCAAAGCTGAGTTTAGGGTTGTCAATGAACTCCAAAAACCAAGAAAAAAACTGATTCAACATCTGATCCAATTAGTTTGGATTCCAATCTTGAAACCTGAATCCGTGTAATAATCTGGTCCGATTCAGATTTGACTCCAAGATCCAAGTCCAATTAAAATATAATCAGGTATTTATGTAACAGTAAACGGATTCAGATTTAAAATATAATCATGCACACACCAACGAAAACATCTTTCACAGCACCATTCCTAGGCCTCTAAGTGTAATTGCTTGTTTTGATTTCTGGGGACGCGCTACCCCCTGTTCTGCGTAGCCCATTTCTAGTTCTATCCAAAAAAAAAAAAAAAAACAGATTCAGATTTAATCCAAATCTAATATGAGTCCAAAATTTTTTATTCAAATTTGAAATTTCAATGATTGGATCAGATTCGGATGCGTCTGGATTAATTCTATCAAAACCTGACCTGATTACAACCCTAACTGACTTCATGGTTTGCCTGTCAGTATATCTCTCTCAAATTGTTTTGTTTATTTTAAACAGCATACTGTTCTATTTATTAGTGGAAGGTTAGGATCAAAATCATCTTTTTTGGTGGTTTGTACCTTGAGGGAGGGAATGGGTCAAAGCCTGTATTACATAGTTACACTAGCAGTAATGGGCCATGGTGGTCTCATTATCTGGAGCAGGTTCATATAAATGGAACTCTCAACTCTTTCCTTTTTCTATTTTTTTTTACCTTTTGACTAAGCATCATTTTCAATATGTATGTGATGTTAAATCCTGTGATTATAAGAGGTATACAATTGTTGTGCTTGCTACTGTCTCCACAAGTTACAGAGGTTAAGTGATTTGTGATTCTTGTATTGTTAAAAATAAAAACATGGTGATATAAAGTGAACTACCTGTTTTTTCAGTAAAGAAGACCCAGATGAAATAAAGACATGGATCTATTTTCTCGAAATTAGATGGTTGGCAATTCTATCTGGGAACACCCAAGTTTTGACTGATGGGCAGGTGAACTAGTTGACCCAGCGAGTTGAGGTTGATGAAGCTGAATCATTTATTATTTTATTTTCACTATAATGAGCAAAGCTAACCATGCGAATTCGCGCCTTCACGGTCATTTGGTGACTGCTGCCATCAAAGTCTAGATTTGTTGATTCTTGGGTATTTACTAGAATTGTTCTTACAATTAACATTAGATTTGTTGATTCTTGGGTATTTACTAGGTCAACCTAACGGTCCAATGGGATAAGCTGGACAGTTGCGAAAACAGTGGCTAGTAGCTTAGAGAAGCCAGGTTTTTAATGAACCAAATAGAGGACCATATGGTCCATGACTGCCGTGATTGCTCTACAAACGGCATTTGCTTGTTAAAGGCTATTACTAATTGGGGAAAAGTAAATTAGTCAAATTGTATTGAAAGTTAAAGCTGAACCAGGGTTCAGGGCTGAGCAGTTTTTGGGTTTCTTTTGAATATTAACTGGTGGTTTAACCAGTCATTACCATCTAACCGGTTTTAACACAATCCGAAATCTTGTCTATCCAGTCTGGTTTGGAACTTTGGATTACGAAAGTTGAATACAGCGCGAACATTTGGTAGGATTCTCACTGGGTTCTAGAGTTGAAGGTTGTTAGACTTTGACATGAATATTTGTTAAAGAGGAGGCTAATAGATATAGAGAAAATGCCTTGGGCTATTTGATAATTTTCTGTCAGATGATAACAGGTTTTATAGATATTCTGCAGGATAACAAAGTTTGGTTAAAAAAAACCTCAATGCTCAATATTAAATGTAATCCTGCTCTATCTCCTCAGTTACCTTTATTACTTGAAAGTTGAAACGCTAAAGACTGAACCAAGATCTAGTTTACCAAACTATGCAGTATTATAAAGCAATCTTTTTGATTCCAATAGGAAATGGATGATTATTTTGCAGTATGAATTCATCTAAGATGAGCAATTTACAGTTGCTCACAAATTTTCAGAAAAATACATTAAACCTGCAGGTTAAACAAGGATGGAACACAAAAAAAAAGGAGCTGAGAGAAGATAATGCATGCAATAATTGATTGGAAAGGATTAGAAAAAACAGAAAGCTCACATGACGTTCTTCCAAGAACCCTTGACATCAGAGTGGATCTTTCAAGTCATTACTTAGAAGAATGAACCATTATTTATTTGAGAAAAAACCCTACTCCTTTATTGTTTACATGATTAGTAAAACATGAGACTACAAGTGAAAATGGATTTATCAAGACTTTGTCATCAAGCTTGCCTCAGCCTCTTTCTTGCTTTTCTCCTCTTCAAACTTGTCAATAGCCACCTGCAACTCATCTGTACCCCCAACAGCCCTCATGGTGTAGAAATACACCCCAAATACAAAGCCTGTTAAACCTCCAGCCACTATCAAGTTCTTTGTCTTTGGTCCAAGGCTGTTAAATCTCGAAAGTCCAGACATTGCAAAAGTACTGAGATACAGTTAATTGTGTACTCTTGAACCTGCTAGGGAAGGAAAAAAGGGCTTACAGGAATCAATTTTTTTACTGAAAGTGGCAACCAGATAGGAAACCAAGACAGCCATTTCTCAGAACATGGGAAAACCCACCAGTTTATGAGTCCCAGCAAGATCTGATCTTATATGACTTTTTATTCTTTATTATTATTATTATTATTATTATTATTATTATTATTATTATTATTATTATTATTTATTTACTTCTATAAACTGTTAACAAAGTTTCCCAGCTATCTACAAACATGAAAATTGTCATTTATTATAATAATTTCAAGCAACCTATGATTCTAGCTACCATATTAAGCAAATCCGGTACATGGAATCATCCAATTAACAAAGAATATATTGAACGGTCTCCTATAGAAATGAGGTTATATAATGATTGCATTATGGGTTATAATATTGAATACTATGATACTTATCAATATGATGTAATATAAAGGCCATATATGAGAGTGATGTTATATTATCATGTACAACAGCCATTAGGTGGCTAACTAAACAAGAGTAAAAGCAAAGACAAAGCACCAGTTTTACTTTTTTTTGTTGAAAAATAAAGCATCAGCATTCTTGCTGATAATGGACCTGTTGCTCCCCAAATTAAGCTAGGCCTACCCATGCAGGTGAATCAGCCAAGCCATTAAGTGATCTAGGAATCCAAATGAGTGAGCATTAATTCCGATGGGATACTAGAGCCTAAGCTTCTCTCTAATGTGGCCTAATGAGCAGTTCTTACCCAAATTTCCATTTCCTTCTTGATTGGTAAACTTTAGCTAATATTCACCCTGAACAAGTGTCTAGACCATTGCACCAGCAAAGCCATTAGCTGATCTAGGAATCCAAATGAGTGAACAGTAGTTCAGATGGGATACTAGAGCCTAACCTCTCTAATGTGGCCTAATGAGCAGTTCGTCTCCCAAACAAGATTTACCCAAATTTCCTTTTCTTACTTGATTGGTAAATTTTGACTAAAATTTGCCCTGAACAAGTGTCTGGACCATTCCAAAACGGAACTTTCACGGTTTCACCCATTGACTTTGTTATGGGCCCGCAAATAGGATCTCGTCACGGGTCGGTCCACGGGGAAAACCTCCTGTTTTCCCTTGTTCCTCCCTGCTCTTGACGAACCTATCTTGGCGCCTTAATGGTGATTTGTCCAAGAGATCACCTAACTCTCCTTGCTCTCTTTCTTGACTGAAATTTTCCGATGATCTTATTCAATATTCTCAGCTCCTTAAATAGGAGATTACAAGAGATAAGAGTCCTACTTTTAGGAAGACTCCTTGCTAATTAGGAAGACTCCCTACTAATCTATCCTACTGAACTGATAAGATAAGATAAGACTCCCTACTAATCCATACTACTGAATTGATAAGATAAGAACACTGAATAGAAAAGACTCCTACTAATCCCTACTACTGAAAGCAGATAAGGCAAGAATACTTAATAGATAAGATAGGATGAGAACACTAAATTACTGTTGCTGCTGCCAGCGTCCACATCATTACTCCCCTCATGGACTACGAGCTTGTCCTCAAGCTCGAATAGCTCGAATTCAGGATGGGTGTCTTGAAACATAGTCAAAGGAATCCCGGATAGGTGGAATGATTTTGCCCTCCTGGATCGGGTTCCAATGAAGAGGGTTCATCCTCAGACAGCTGCAGTGAGATACCAAGATTTGACCATGCGTAGCTGCATTCTTTGCCGCGGGCAACTGCAGCCTTAAGGTACTTC